AGCCACGGGCACACTGAGACGGGCACACGCCTGTGATCCCACATCTGGCACACTGAGACGGACACAAGCCTGTGTGATCCCACATCTGGCAGGCTGAGACAGGTGGATTACTGCTGCCGAGGGGCCCAGCCCCCAGCAGGTCAGAGAAACTGGAGATGAGATGTGGAGTGGGCAAACTACTGGACGGACACACAGACACACACTGGAACTTTTATCTGGGGACCAAAACTTAATCCTTCATTGAGTTTTTCTCTGCTGGTTGTTCCTACTCTGTTCCTTTTCTGTTCTGTCCTTCTGCCCCATGCTTTCTTCTTCTTCCCAGCTTTTCTAGATCTTTCCTGATGTTCTTCTACTTCTTCCCTGATGGTTCCATTCTATTTCTTTCTTTTCTGATGCTTTTCCTTCTACATCTTTTTCCTTCTCTCTCTTATTTTTCTCTTATGCCTAATACAAAGATGTCTACACAAGAAAAGATTACCTCACAACCACAAGTTACATATTTTCCAAAAACAATTAAAATCTTTACATAAGAAATCACATTATGATCACAAGTTACATGTTTTCCTTAGAAGCCCACAAGTAGTTAGACATTTTTCCTTTGTATGAATTTTGCCTCCATACCATCTTCACCCCAAGCAATGATTCTTTTGTGATTGAGTAACAAAATTTTAAGCAAGCCAAGTCTATTTCAGCCGCTTCCATTGTCCTGGAGGCAGCTGTTTGTGCTTTCAGTGTGGCAGATTTTTATTTTATAAAAAACTTTAAACCAGTGGTCAGCTAACCATCTATTTTTCTTTACACACAATAGGGTCATTTAATTTCATTTCACAACTTTGTTTTTGCAAGGTGCATGCCAGGGCCTCTGATTAATTCTGTAAGTTACATGACCAAGGAACTAAGGCCTAATCTTGGGTGTAGGAACATAATTGCTTTCTTTAATTATCAGCCTGTTGTTCCACAGGCAAATTCATGAGTCTATAATGCATGACACTTCCATGTTCTTGTTTTCCATCTTCTGCAAATCTCACATCTAATGAAAAGGAAGGTGACTTCTTGCCTTTTTTTTTTTTTATCTCCTATGCTAACCTGAACCATTTCCTTAATCATCTTCACTAACTGTCCTAATCACTGTATCTTTTAGGCTAACCCAGAAAGTCCAATTAAATCATAGTTCTCACTAATCATTGCTCTTATAAAAACCATCTTCATTATGATCTGCAAGTAGAGTGCCCAGTGAGGAGGAGGATTTTCCTAAGAAACAATCACACCATACTAGATACAGTGGGACCCTTCATACAGTGTACC